TTGGCTTTCTCACTTTAATCTCCCATTTCAAATAAATCCAAAACTCTAGACTCTCACATCAGTGGCTGGGCTCCCTGCTTTTCCACGACTGGAATTTGGAAATTGAACTTAAAACTCAAGAGAAAAAAAGGGCAGAGGCACTTTCAAAAGGATGCCTGTTGTATGTCCAAAGTCCCAGCCATCACCAACCCAAAGATGGATGCATTTTGTTCTAAGAATTAAACTGTCATCTAGCGTTGCCATTTATTGAAGCAGCGGAAAAGGAATAGGGTGGGGAAGACAGACTGATTCTAGAGCAAATTTCTGGATTTCTCCTATTATGGGAATGGGAGATAGATTTTAATAAGAAAGACAGCTTCTTTTCCTCTCAGGCCTGGCACACTAAGGGGAGCCATGCACATTGCCAGTGCAGCTTTTTCATATAATTTAGAAACCTCCACAAAGCTAGTAGTTTATGGGTCAATCTTCCCACTAGACTGTGTGCTGTTCCTGACCACATCCAGAGACCATGTCTGGTTAATCACCCATCATAGCTAGCCCAAAGCCCCACGGGCACCAAGAGCTCAGAAAGTGTTGGTTGAAGGAGGGTGGGAAAGGAGGGGAGGAGATAGGGAGAGTCATCTGAGGCCCTTCAGCAACTGTCAGTAAGCCTCCAGGACTCTACAATTTATTAATTTCGTACTATGGGCCCATAAGGGGCCAAGTACTTGATATGCATTATCTCAGTCCTCACAACAACCCAGAGAGGCAGGCATTATGATGATTACTCCTATTTGAAAGATGAGGAAAAAGCTCAAGAGAAGTTAAGCAATTTGCCCAAGGTCACTCTACTAGAAAGTACCGTAACTGGGATCCTGGGAACAGCCCCCTCAACCTCCACCCCCCAGGGGATCCTTCAACGGAGACATGACAGAGGGGGGTCTGAAGATGTGCATCCTTGGTACTTGAGCCCTCTAAAACAAGCAGACTATCTCCCAGAGGGAGAGTCTAAGTCAATTAATCACAAGGCAAAACAAAGATGTCAAGTTCTCTTAAAACATCTTCAGGCTGTCAGGGTTGGCTCAATGCATCAACTTTTAATTGCAGAAACCTGAGAAAACAAATAAGGCAAGGGAATAACCTGAACCAGAAGGTGGGACAACAGATTAGGCACAAGAAAAAGCTAGTTTTCAGTTCTTATCTCTTCATGCTAATGGAATATTTAGCTTTAAGGCTGCAGGCATGTGCGGGATACTTCTTCCCTCCAATCCTAAATAAAACAAATTAAGAATCATGTAAGCAAAACTAACCAAAAGCCCTATCTAATTTATATTTACATAATACACATGTTTATACCATTAGCACAGCAAATGCTGAAAGAGAATTCATTTCTACTTTATGGTCCATTTGGTGGTGGGTCACCTTAGGTAGGGACGCCCAACAGACAAAGACCAAAATGGTGATAAAAGAAGAGATAAAGGGAAAACAAACATAATGGATGACACACAGGAACATACAAACAAAAGAAGAAAAGGAAGAGGCAAAAATAGAAACTAAGGGAAAGGAGGCCAAAGGTTAAGGATGTTTAGTAGTTGGTATCTGCCAGGGAGAGCAACTACCTTAGTGATTTCCAGACCTCAGACATGTGTGGGGTGGTCTGCATTAGGAAAACCTGGGAAATTGGGGTGGGGGGGAAGTGTAGGTATTAAATTCTGATTTTATAGCCTTTTGGCTGGGCCAGGAATTCTTAAGGCAACCAGGTTTGAGAATCCCTAGGGATAGTCTCACTTTTTTTTTTTTGCGGTACGCAGGCCTCTCACTGCTGTGGCCTCTCCCGTTGCAGAGCACAGGCTCCGGACGCGCAGGCTCAGCGGCCATGGCTCATGCGCCCAGCTGCTCCGCGGCATGTGGGATCCTCCCGGACCGGGGCATGAACCCACGTCCCCTGCATCGGCAGGCGGACTCTTAACCACTGCGCCACCAGGGAAGCCCTAGTCTCACTTTTGAGGATGCCTATTATCTATATCAGCTAGCCTTCATCCTCCAGAGTTCTACTGCAAATGTAAGTCACGGTCCACATCTATGGAGCTCCTCTAAACTGTAGCAATGGTAGCCCAAGCAATATCTCCTTCCTGCATCTCATATGCCTCCTGAGCATTCCTCATACATTACCTGTCATGTCATTACCTCGGTGCCTTTGCACACACTGTTTCCCCTGGCGTGTTTCTGCATGTTTAAATCCTCTTCATTCTTCCCAGCCACATCTCCAAAATGCCTACCCTTCTTTCTGTATCTCTGTAATGAACTTAAACTCTTTCTACCTTGTACTCTGGTTATTGACATAGATGTCTTAATCACTCCTATTTGAGGATATGCTCTTAGGGGCAGGGGCCATATTATGACTTACCTTTTTCTCCCAAAGGTCTAATTATCTGTTGAATGATGAATACCCAGGAAAATAAAACAAAACAAAAATAAAACAAAATAAAAGATTGAGTTTCAGCCCCAGGCCAGAGGTTCCTCTTCTCTATCTCAAAATAGGAATCAAAATTTTCCTCAGGCAGGATATGTTCCAAGCCTATGCTCTCTTGCCCCAGGTACTCCCACCCAGAACACCATGGGAAAACAAAACAAATCATTAGGCAGGTCAATATTTCCTATAACTAAATTTCATATCAGATAGAATAAAACCACTTTCTTCTGCCCAACCAAACTCAACCACTGTTCACACCCAGCAGATCCTGTTTGAGCCTCAGTGGCATCCATATGCCATCTGGATATCAAGCCTTCCTTTCATGGCAAGAAATAGCCGAGGGAACTCCAGACACTAGAGGCTAATTTCATTCTGAGCAGGCAAGCTAATTTCACATAAAACCCACTAAGTCTGGACATACTACATTCTCAAGACCATGGGGGAGGGCTGACTGCCCTGCAACTCAGGAGACAGGAGAGCTCAGTGCTGCTGACCCAGCCAGGAAACAGGAATCAGAGTGGCAGTGCCACACCTCATTGGCAGATGTTGCTTTGTCCCATCACAGAGGGAAGGAAGGCTTTGCCTAGTATTGAGACATTATGGGTAATTTAGAGTTTAAGTCAGAAGTTGGTACTTTTCCAGAATGTACGGGAGTAGTAAGAGCCTTGGACCTGAGAAATAAAAGATATGATTTACAGTCTGTGCTTTGCCCAAATTAGTTCTGTCCTAAGCAAGTCCTTTTTGCCTGTTTGGGCCTCAATGTTTATATCTCTAAAATGTAACACCTAAAATGGATTTTAATACCCAATCCAGCATATATCTAATCAATAGAGTTATAAACCATTAACTTGAAAGCAAAGAAAATAAAATTATAGGGTTAACACTGGAAAAAATTGGGATGCAGGGCCCGACAGTTACTAAAGTCAAGCCACAAATTTGTTTCTCTGCTTCCTGGCAGCCAAAGCAAAAAAGAGAAACATGATCAGTTATATCCAATTGTCCACAAAGAAAAATCATGCCAGTTCCTTGGGAGAGGCAAAGCTTTTCCTAGCACTGGGTTCTGAAAGCAATTTCTCTGATTAACTTAACAGAGACATTAAGTGAAGTTGTAGCTTAAGTCTTCAACAATATAAATTCTTATAAGAAATGTAGTAGCAAGTTATATAAAGCTATTTTGGACAGCGTCCCTCCATAAAGCAAAGGGCAGGACACCCAAGTTCATCTCAGTGAAAACAATTCTGGAGGGGCTGAGGTAACATGGCCCAAGTATGCAGCTTTCAGTTGGCCCGGCTTAATTCAAGGATAAAACTTAAGACCAGGTAGACAACATATTCTTCCAAACACTTCTATAAATATTACTTCTTCCACATGGATGTTTATTAAGAGTTGGGTAGCAGTGTGCAATTAGATGACTTCTAAATTCCATTCCAGTTCTGATAAATCTAAGTGACATTTTTGGTCTTCATTTACTTACACTAATTTAAAATTTGGGAGTTTTCCCCCTCTTACTCCCCACTCCCAAATCAATGGATAGGGAATTCCTGCCAGTGAGAGAGGGAATCTAACTATTAATGTTAGTCTTGTTATTAATAGCTAATACCAAGCGCTTATGTGCCAGGCTCTGTGTCTGGGTTCCCGTGCATTCTCTCATTGAATCTTCCCATCAATCCTGTATGATAGTAACTATTATTAGTCCCATTTTACAAATAAGGAACAGAGATGTAGAGAATTTTAGCAAATTGTCCTAGGTCACAGAGCTAATTATTCAGATCTTTCTGGTTCCAAAGCCAAGGCTCTTAGCTCTACTTATAGTGCCTAGTATTAATGAAATGTGATTACTGATAGAAATGCTTGTTTGTCAGAAGAACAGTGAAGCCTAGAATAAGGCTTGTAGGGGAGGCAAGAGTTATTAACAACAACAAAATAACAATGGAGCTTTTAGAGACTTTGGCAACCCATAAAAAAAATAAAAGGATGAAAAATATTGTGAAAAGCAGAAATCTCAAAAGAAAGTAATTCCAAGGGAACAGGAATTCCGAGGAAAAGAGAGAAAACTTCTTTTCCTCCTCTTCTCTTGAAAATAAGTATTATTTCTTACTCTTAAAGACTCTAAACCTTGGCTCTCTTGGTCATTCATTCATTCCACCAACAATTAGATATTTATCCTGTGCTACTCCCTGCTAGGCACTGTCAGCAGTGAGCAAGACAGAGGGGCTTCCAATCCAGCCATCAAGTAGACAATGCATTTCCAGATGGTATTAAAGTGCTTTGGAAAAAAAAAAATTAAGGGGATTAAGAAGGGCTGAGGGGCAGGGATGGAGGACTGTTCTAGATAACAGGTCAGGGAGGGGCTCTCTGAGACCCAAGTGTAGGAAGCCAATCATGCAAAAATTTGGAGACCAGTGACTACCAGTAGAAAGGCCCAAGGACAAAAACAAACCTTACTTGTTTTAGAAATCTCAGGAAGGCTAGTGCAGTTGGAGCTGGACTGAAGCAGAATGGACCAGGTGAGGGCTGGTAGGAGCTGGGGGGTGGGGGGTGGGGGTGGGGGGGGTGGAGAAGTTGGGATGGGACGGGGGAGAGGTCTGCAGTGCCTACAGGGAAAGGGGGTGGATTATTTCTGAAGGGCAATGTGAAAGTTGTAAACATGGGAGTGGCATAATCCTATTTACTTTATAAACCTCCAGTGCTGTATTTACAGCTCCCAGGGAAATTCAGGCAGGTGCAGTATCACCTTTTGTTAGGGATAATATCACTAAACTCTTAACAGAATCCCTTTAGCCTGTAGGCCCTGACTTTCCATCATTGGATGCTAAAATTCAAAAGGACACTTCCTTTTCCAGAGCTTTATACCCCCTCATCATGCTAAGGGAATGCAACTGTCAGAGCAACTAGTGGTTTGGTTGACAGACCCTAGGGAAATGCCAAGATAATTTACAAAGAAAATTGATCCAGACCTCAATTTGAATCCCACCTGCTTTTCCTATCCTAGGATATGCCATCCTTTTGTTGTTTCCTTTTTTTCCATAGGCTCAAAACTAAACGTTAATGTGAGCTGCTTGACCAAACTGAACATTATTAAAGTTAATTTCAACAGTCCTACAGTTAGTGTTCCCATATAAGGCATACCCTTGGCAGGAAGGACCACAGTTGAATTTGAATTTGGATAATTTAGAGTTCTCTTTGAAGCTAAATTGTAGCTTTGATAAATTCAAGGAAATTTCTTTTACCAACATGTTTGGACACAATAAGAGGGAAACATACAACATGTGGAAGCATCAGGTGTGTGTATGTTTATGCTTGAAAGTAGAGACAGAGGTAACAGCATCAGAAACCAGAATACTAACAAGATCCACCTGCACACAGGAGCTGAGCTGTTACACAGGAAAGAACCAGGGCTGAGGCAGGCAAGGGGTTGGGGAAACTTGCACCTCTTCTTATTAACTGTTGACAGACAAGCCCCTGGCTCCCCTCCCCATGCCTAACAAAAATAAAATCACCAGTCTGCCCTTCTCCTAGATTACACAGCCTGGAATACACAGATATTAAAATCAACCTTTTCTGCTGCCCAAACTGTTCATGTCCCAGGCGCAATGACTGTGTCATTGACTCAAAACCATTAAAGTCATTAAAATAGTGAAAATTCACATAAATCTGTGAATAATACAGCAGGCTCAACAGCACTACTCATGACCCCAACCCCACACACCTAGAAACATCCAGTGGTACAGAACCATGAACAGCAGCCCTCAAGTGGGCTGGAGTGCAGGGATGTGGGGAGGGAAGGGGGGCTATCTCTTAGGGCCAATGCCTCATGACAGCTGAAATCAAACAACACTATACCCTTAGACTAGCCTGGGCTAGTGTGACAGATGAGGGATCCTGGGTTTGCATAGAGTATGGCTCACATATCTGACTAAGGCTTTGCATTCTTCTTATCTAAGTTAATGCCTTTCATTGTACATTGCCCCCAATTCCCACTAGTTCAGGGTTTCTTATCAACCACCTGTCTCACAACCTCATGGCCCATTTATTAAAAATGTGCCCCACTGAGAATAAACATCTCCAGACTGGACTTACATACTGCATTTTTAAACACTACCTGGGTCATCTTTATGCAGATTTAAGTTTGAGGACCTCTGCTCTACAGCAATGTTTCTTAAACTGTGGGCCGTGACCCGTTTGGTCAAGAAACCAAATAAATGAGTCATGACCAGCAGTTGATTTTTTTTTTTTAAGTAAGTAGGAAAAAATTATAAATAGAACACACTGCAGGTAGTCAGGGCAATTATTGTTTCTGGGAACTTATGCACTTGTGGACCTCTGTGCAGGGATGTAAAATGTATTCCTCACTGTGGATCCCACTCAGAGTTTGAAAACCACTATCCTAGAGGGAAAAAGGAAAACAATATTCTTGCACATGCGTTTATTTTCATTTTCCACCCCTAATTCCAAGCTTCTGGAGTTTAGTTCAAGCACAAGATATCAAGACAGAAAGGCTGTTATCAAATCCTAAACTGATAAGGCAAAGCCAAACTAAGGAGGGGGATGAGCCCAAGGCCCACACTCGGCTCCTGCCTGAGACCCTTATCATGGAGCTGGGGATAAGGAAAGGTGCCAAAGAGAAATTTGCACAACTCTCCTCAGGCTGGACCTGTTCCTTGGTAAAGAACCTGTAGCCACTCACTGTCACAGTTTAGAGGAATTAAAATGTTCCCCATGGGGGGGAATGGGGGGTCAGAGGAGGCTCAGTCTCAGTATAAGGGATAGACAGAAGTCAGGTTCAACCCATCTTTGCAGTCCTGTGGCAGTGACGAGGTCAAAGGAAAGTCAGGAAAGGGTGAATGGTCAAGTCTCACCCCAGCACCAGCGACATGAGTTGCCTTGGACAAGTCGCGTAACCTCTCAGTCCCCTAGGTTCCATGCATGGCTAATGTTCTGGCAGCAAGTGGGGCACACGCAATCAGACAGCTTCCCTTCTTGCCCAATGCTCTAGGACAGGGAGTCCCATCTTGCACATCTTGCCTGACCAGAAGAGAGGAACATGGGAGGAAGGGCAAGGGGGAAAAGATGGTAGCTAGCTGTGTTGTTAGCTTTCAGACTCACCAGAAGCAAGGACTTACTGAAAAGAGCCTCAAGACCCCAGGAGAGCAAACTGACAAGGAGGCCAGAGAGCAAAAAACCCAGCGAAGCCCAGGAGCATTTTCCCGTGCCATTCACAGCCGCGGGACTGCGGGAGGGTCAGCTACATAACAGAAATAAACGGAGGACACTCACTCACTTGGCTTTGTAAGCTCTGGTAAGCTGAGAGTGAAGTCAGAGGTGGCAGTCTCCTGGGCTGGGTCCAAAAGAACAGGTGGTTCCCCCCACCCGCCAACTAGAGAAAAGCCACCACTTGGGTAAAGACATCCAGAGGAAGTCAGCGGCCGAGGGTGAACTGGAAGCAGTGAGAGATCGGCGCTGCCCCTCAGCGCAAGTTCCCGAAAGGTACTCGCTGGAGAGGCCCCTTAATTCCGTCGGGCAGGAGTGAACTCGCGCCCACCCCTTTGGCAAGGGCACTGGGGAGGCGCCGGGAAACGGCCAGGCAGGAACTCGGCTGCGGTTACCTCGGCCCAGGGCCGGCCAAGCGCTCCTCGGAGTCTTGAGGGCAGCCAGTCCCCCAAAGGCGGGGGCACCGAGGGCGGCGCCCCCGGACCCAGTGTCTCCAGCGGACACCCAGCGACACCGGGGACCGAAAACGCCCGAAGCTCCCACCCTGCCCCCCACAGACTCCGAACCCGCGGGAACTATGCTCAGGAAGAAGCAGCGACCAGGTCTCCAGGTCACCCCCCTACCGCCCCGCCAAACCGCGCGCGCCCTACTAGCCCCGCTCCTCGCACAGGTCCCGGGCCCCCGACCTGGGAACCCATGCCTTCTCGGCTCCTACCGCGGGCCGCCGCCAAGGCCCCGGCAGTGTTTGTAAACAAACCGGTCACGTGGCCCCGGCGGCCCGCTCCCCGCCCCCTGTGCCCGCGGCCCCCAGGGTGACCCCCCCACCGGACCCCGCCTCGGCCGCGCTGGGCAGAGGGTGCCGCGCGCTCCGGGGGAGCCGGGCCGCAGGGACCACGGGACCTGCGCCCAGTGATGGGGGGTCGGGCGCCCGCGCTGACAGCGCGCCCCACGCCCACGCACGCCCGGCTCGCGCAGTGCTCGCGTCTGCTTACCGGGCAGCAGGCAGCCCGGTCCGGCCAGCTCTGAGCTTGGCTCCGCGGGGGTGCGCAGCAGCAAAGGACCGCCCCGCCGGATCCCGGGCTCTGGGCGCGCTCTTAAAGCCACAGTCTCCGCCACTGCCGCCGCCGCCACTCCGCATCCCTCCGGGTCGGGGCCGGGGGCTGCCTGGTGACGGACGCGCCCCCGCGCCTATCCCCTCGGCTCAGCACATAGCAACACGCCGCGGGTTGGCTGGGCCCGGCCGCAGCCCATCCGTCTTGAGCCAATCAGCGAAGGACGGAACTCCGCCCCCTGCTTCCCCTACCTCCCACCCCCCACCTCTCGGCCCTGGCAGGGCTTGGGTGAGGGGAGTGTGGCGAGTGCCCGGCCAGGCCCTATGAGGCTCAGCCAGCGGAGCCTGGCCAAGCAGGGCAACTGGCCGGAGGAAGAGGGAGAAAGGGTGATGAGGATGGGTAGGCTCTCGGCGCTCGGGAGGAGGCCGTCTATTTGGGTTTGGAGTTTGTCCCCGCTTCAAGGCTGGGATTTCCAGAACCCGGGGTAGGGAGAGGGGAAGCTTTATAGTGCTTCTTCTACTCTCTAACTCCCTCCTCCCACCTTAGGTATCCCTAACTCAGAGGCTAAGTTACCTGAGGAAGCTCTTGGGAACCGGGGCAGTTGAATTAAATAAGACAGTGCCAGCCCGACGGGGCCCAGCCAGGACCTACTCAGAAGCAAGGCATTTCCCCTTTTCTCTCTGCTCTCTCAAATTTGGCGAATTAAAAGTAGGAACGAGGCATTACAGGAATTGGAAGGTACCTAGCCCCCAACTGCTGCTGATTTTCCAAGGCTTTTAAAGAGAAATGGTACGCCCCGGAGAGTAGGATGGTCAGTGATCATAGGGGAGGCGCCCACGTTCTGGGTCAGTGGAGTGGTGCTTTTCAAGGAAGAGAAGGTTAAAAAAATAAGCCCAGGGCAGTCAGGAAATCTAGGGAGGCACCAGGTGGGTGGAGTGGGGCAGTCTCCCAGCAAGAAAAAGGTCAGTTTGAGAAAGAATGCTGCCAGGGATCAGGGGCAGAGAGCAACCCAGCCTTTTCAGTTGGCTACTGTTAGTTCTGCAGTTCCTCAGAGAGCAGTAGGAAATGCGATGTTTTATTGAGCTGCTGTCAAAATGCGAGATGCTTCTGGGGGTGCTGCTGACTTCAGCCCTCTTCCCCACTGGTTTGCACATAAATGGAGAATGGTACGGGGTAGATCCCCAAGGTGGCTCAAACTTCACCGCAACGCCACCTGGCAGTCTTTAAAATATATTTGATTCAGGGACTTCCCAGACGGTCCAGGGGTTAAGCCTGCGCTCCTAGTGCAGGGGGCATGGGTTTGATCCCTAGTCGGAGATAGATAAATAGATAGATATTTGATTCAGTTAATATATTTTGCATTCAAATTGTATTCAGTTAATATACCTTGCATGGTTGGATGTGAATCCAGTCCTAATGTTAATAAAACGATAGTAAAAGCAACAAAAAATACCTCAAAAAATCGGTATCATACACATGTATCAGTCTCAGTGTAAGCAGTTTCAGTGTAAGCAAGAACACCTTGTCACTGTTCACAGTTGACAAAGTTGGAAAGTTTAAAACAGATTTTTTTAAAATGCTTTTCAGGTGAGAAAGAATCATGAACAAGAAACGTTTAATACTTAATCTATGAAGAGGTGGTGGATTCTTTAGAGTTTGATTTCTGCGCTCATCTGCCTCTTGGGCAAATTTCTTTGTCTCTCTAGGCCTTGGTTTCCACAGTTTAAAACAAAGAAAATTGAAATAGGATGATCTCTAAAGTCCCTTACCTCTCCAAAATCTAATCAGGGCCAGAAAGTCAAACTCGTTACAATGTTTCAGCAATATTCTCCTAATGAATATTCATGTTGCCAGATCACCACTCCCCAACAGTAGATGTTGCATTAGTTTAACACCCTAGGATATTGGTATGTTATGTAACAAGATTGGTGGCTACCGTTTTCTGTTTAAATAAAAGATAATGTGAGCTAAGGAGGACAAGCCTGGTGGGGTGGTTCAAGAGGGAGATGTGAGGACCCCTGCAGGCCTGCCGTGTGTATGCAGGGAACTGGAAGAGGCAGCGGGACTTGCAAGACCTGGAGACAATAGAACCAGCCGGCAACCAACCAAAAAAAGGGTGTACTAAGGCTGATGGTGCCTCCTCCCAGGCAGAAGAGCCAAGCACTGTGAGTTGTTAGGCCAGAAGGTAGAAGTGAAACAAAGTAGGAGAAGCAACTTCTCTTCCTCTCTGAAAGCACCTCGAATGGCCCCTCAGTACACATTTACTCAGTGCCTATTCTGTGCAGAACTTCCTGCTTGGCTTGGATGGTAGTTTTCTGAAGAATCTACCAAGAGGAGAGACCCTGAGGCCTAGGGAGAGTGTGTGAGAACTGACAGATATTTATCCCGTAGGGCAAAAATGAGGTGGAAAAAATATAGGGAGAGAAGTAAGTAAATTTGTTCAAATGTAGCCAGAGGGCTTTTTTTTTCCCCCTAGCAGTAAAAGTTTGAGAAGTTCCTAGCCTCGCAGACAGGATATCAGCTTGGCTTTGTCAGTGGCCCAGGACCCTTGTCTCCTCTGTGTGTGGCCAAATTCATTCATTGCCAAAGCCTTCCCAGCAATTATTTTCCAGCATCCCCTTTCTCCAATCCCACATTCCTACTGTTGCCACGTTGACATCACTACTACCGTGAAAAGGTCACTTTTATGTGCTCATCTTAACTTCTCATAGCATTTGACATGATTCCATCCTCCTTTCCCTCAACCCCCACCACCAGTGCATCAGCAGGTCCTGTCAGCTCTACTTCAGAAATACATATTTGCTCTGAACACGTCTGTCTCTGCTGCTACCACCCTGGTCAGAGCCACCAACACCTCTTGCCTAGATGTTGCAACAGCCTGCCAACTCACCTCCCTGCTTCCAGTCTCTACACAGCAGCCAGATGGTAGTTCCTCAAAACAAACTCCTTACGATGGCCACAGGGCCCTACTAAGCCAACCTCTCTGGTCTTTCCCTGTTGCTCCTTTGCTCATGCTGCTCCAGTCAAGCTGGCCACCTTTCTGTTCCTCAAATACGCTGGGCCTGGTCTTGTTATAGTGTTTGTATTTGCTGTCCCATCCACCTAGAACACTGTCTCCAGAAGGCTGCCTCCTCACCGCTTGGTTTTCAGGTCAAACATTTCCTCCATAGAGGCCCCCCCGATACTTACATGCCCCCCAGGGTACCCTCTATTCTACCTACTCCCAACTTTTCTTTCTTTTTTCTTTTTAAATTTTATTTATTTATTTTTGGCTGCATTGGGTCTTCGTTGCTGCGTGCGGGCTTTCTCTAGTTGTGGTGAGCTGGCTTCTCACTGCCATGGCTTCTCTTGTTGCGGAGCATGGGCTCTGGGGCGCCGGATTCAGTAGTTGTGGCTTGCAGTCTCAGTAGTTGTGGCGCACGGGCTTAGTTTGTCCGCGGCATGTGGGATCCTCCCAGACCAGGGCTCGAACCTGTGTCCCCTGCACTGGCAGGCGGATTCTTAACCACTGCACTGCCAGGGAAGTCCCGCAACTTTGCATAACACATATCTCTCCCTGAAATTACTTTCTTCGTGTCTTTATTTGTTTTCTGTCTCACCCACCTCTGAAGTGTAAACTCCATGAGAGCGTCCGGGACTTTGTCTGTCTTGCTTCCTGTTGTATCCCCAGTGCCAGCAACAGTGTCTGGCACTCAACCAATACTTGTTGAATAAATAACTGAACAAATGAATGAATATGCGCATCACCTCCTACACCATCTCCTGCGGTTTCTTTCACTTTCCTATATCTCCTTTCCGTCTTTGCTCTTCCCTCATTCCATCTCAAAGCCTTTTGCTTGATGACTCAATCCAAAGATCAGATCAAGTGTCACTTTTCTGGAAGAGTTTCCCCTAACCTCTCTAGAAAAACTAATCTTTCTCTTCTCAATACCTTCCATAGCACTGTATTCACAACTCTATTACATCACTCAGCACTCTACACTCCCTAGTAAGAGTTCTCAGTTATCCATTCTCTCTGCCAGTTCCTCCTGGGCTGCAACCTTATCAGATCGTCTTTGTATGTTTAGCACCTGGCACATGGCAGGCCCTCCCTCCAGGTTTATATTTGAGTTGAATCCAGTAGGGATCCAAGCAGGAATGGATAGGTTCTGTCCTCAGAGTCTACTGATTAACAGATAACAGTCTTACTTCATAGTATGAAAAGATTAACCTGAAACTTTAGGA